CTTCTGTGGGTGGCTGGCCCGTCATGGACCGGTATCAGCACGAGCGTCTGCTGCCCTTCCCTTGCTCCTGGTACCCAAAACATTAAGAAAGCAGCCACCCGGTCCCCCTGGGCTCTAGGTGCCCATCCATGGGGAAAAGGGTGTTTGTTCTGTTCTTACCATTTTAACCTTTTTAAAGCACGTAGTTCAGTAGTAGTAACTGGATTCACATTGGTGTGCAACAGATTTCCAGGACTTTTTCATCTGGCAAAACTGAAACTCCGTATCAATTAAACACCAACCCCCATTGGCCCTGTCCCCAGCTCCTGGTAACCACCAGCTACCTTCCGTCTCTATGAGTGTGACTAGTTTGATTCCACGGAAGTGGAATCATATAGGACTTGCCTTTTTGTGTCTGGCTTATCTCACTTAGCACGATGGCCTCAAGGTTCATCCGTGTTGTAGCAGGTGTCAAAATCTCCTTCCTTTTATTGGATGATGATATTCCATTGTATGGATAGACCCCAGTTCTATTTATCCTTTCCTCGTTTCTCAGTCGGGTTGTTTTGTTGGTGTTGAGTTGTAGGGCTTCTTTATGTATGCTTGTTATTAACCCCTTATTACATATATGATTTGTAAATATTTCCTCCCCCTCTGTAGGTTGTCTTTTCACCGTTGGCTGTTTCCTTCGATGCACAGACATTTTCGTGTTTGACGTAGCCCCCATTTGACTAATTTTGCTTTTTGTTACCTGTGCCTTTGGTGTCATATGCAAGAAATCATTGCCAAGTCCAATGTCATGAAACTTTCCCCTGTTTCTCCTGGGAGTTTTACAGTTCTAAGACGTACAGTGAGGTCTTTAATCCATTTTGAGTTAATGTTCGTATATGGCGCAAATGCGGCTTCATTCTTCCGCATGTGAAGGTCCAGTTTTCCCAACACGTTTGTTGAAGAGACTGTCCCTTCCCCATTGAGTGGTCTCGGCAGCCTTGCTGGAGATCGTTTGGCCACACACGTGAAGGTTTATTTCTGGGCCCACTTTTCTATTCCATTGGTTTGTTTGTCTGATTTTATGCCAGTACCACACGCTTTTCGATTACGGGAGCTTTGTAGTTAGTTTTGGAATCGGGAACTGCAAGTTTTGCAGCCTTACTCATTTTCAAGATTGCTTTGGCTGTGTGAGGTCCCTTGAGATTCCGTATGAATGCTAGGATGGATGTTTCTATTTCTGCAAAAAGTGTCCCTGGGATTCTGATAGGGATACAGTGAATCTGCACATCGCGTTGGGTAGTATTGATATCATAATGATACTGTGTTCCAATCCATGAACATGGGATGTCTTCCCATTTATTCATACCTTTCTTCGTTTCTTTCGGCAAAGTTTGGTAGACTTCGGTGTAGACGTCTTTTACCTCCATAGTTAGGTTTCTTTTTAAGTATGTTGTTCTTTTTGATACTATTATAAGTGGGGTTTTTAAAAAATTTCCTTTTTGGATTGTTCATTGCTAAGGTATAAAAACCCCATTGATTTTTGTGTGTTGATTTTGAGCCTGTGTTTATTAATTCCAACAGTATCTTGGGGGGCCTTTAGGGTGAGAGAAGGGTCCTGATTTAAGGTCCTTCCTGATGACCTTCCATGATTTTGTGACTTCATCCAGGGCCTGTGGCTCCTGTAAGAGAGTGGGGCTCTCTTTTGCAAGGGGGTTTGCCTCGGTTTGGGGCTTGCTTTTGAAGGCAGTCCAACCCAGTCTTTGCTGGCAGGTGACTGTGTCCCAGGCACCATGCTTCCCCTGAACTTGATGATCAGAAGCACTGTCCTCTCCCATCTATCAGATGGGGACACTGAGGCAGGGAGGAGAGACTGACCAGAGCCCATGATCCAGATATCCTCATTTTTAGCTTTTCCTCTTTATTGTGTGTCCCTGCTCAGAAGAAATGGCACCCCCTCCCCCAAATCCACTGCGTCAGTGGAAACAAATGCAAGATGTCTTGAAAACCAGCAATTCTGTGAACTTAGAAATGCACCTGGGCTTCCCCAAACTCCCTCAATTTGCCAGAAGCAGAGGCCCATCTGCCCCTGTTTTACTCCATCGTTTGGGAAGTATTTATTTAGCACCTACTGTGTGCTGAACCTGTGCACAAGGGTGCAGTAGAGAGCCAGGCAGCCGGCCCCTGGCCCCGGGGAGTGGGGCGGGGGGTGGGGGTGGGGTTCCTGGGAGCCGTGGAAGAGGCTGGGAAGAGGCTTTCCACCGATGAAATCACAGAGCCCCAGGGCCTGACCCTCTCACTTAACTGGGACCGTGCGTGTCTGACACGAACCTGGGCCATTAATGGGGGAGCTTTAAAAATGATTTTTCCTATTTCAAAATGAGATTGGCTTTGAGCCCCAAGCTCCTCCGTGGGCTGTCTAAAATTAGAACCCCGTTGACAGGCAATCTTTGTCAGGGGCCCACGGCTTGCACTAGGGAAGCAGGGAAATGTCAACAGTACGTTTTCTGTGTCGGTTGTGAGTTTTTTGAGAGGCCTGGGCAAATGGCAACTCAGAGCAAATGTTCACTGTTTCCAGAGCTTTCAGAATCCAACCCCTTGGCAGCAATGTGATTAAAGTGTCAGGTTTGTAAGGAGCTGGGTCTGTGCTCGGGAGAGTGGCCTCTGCCCCCTCCTGTGTAGACAGTAATCCACTTGGAGCCGCACAGGCTCACAGCAGCGATGGGGTAGGCTCCTTCCTCCCCGTGAGCTCTGCACTTTGCTGTACTTTCCATGTCCCTCTTGTGACAAGGACGGTCCTGGAGCTGCGGGCTCAGGCCTTACCCCCGGGGACACCATGGACTCGAGGATTTGCCCGAAGGCCAGGAAGCAGGCACTGTGGCTGGGTTGTAAATGACCAGTAAGCAAACCAACCATACAGGACAGGTCACAGGCCAGCGGGCAGGGCGCTGCCCGCTGCTGGCTGTGGCCCCCACACAGCCGCCAGCCTGGTACCCAGAGGCCAGCTGCCCCATCAGAGATGCGTGGCGCCTCTGGGCCTCTGTTTTTGCATCATCCCCTGGATGTTATTTACATGGGTCTCTGCCACCATGTGGGAGAAGTGCTCCAGTGACGGAATGTGTGTGCAGAACGTAGCCCAGGGAACACTGTGTCAACAGCACTGTCCTCTCCGGGGCGTTGGGGACGCACAGTCCCTTGCTGGCCCCTGGGACCCAGCTGTCACTGAAGTGGTCCTCACAAAGGTCCTTTCGACCCCACTGTATGCCCCTCTCTCTCTGTCCTCCCCTGCGCACCTGCTCCAGCTCGGTGCCCTGGCCCCTGCTCTCTGGGAAGGCCTGTCTGCAGCGGGAAGCTCTGTCACCTGCCAGCCGGGCCGGGCGGGCCCTCCCAGGCAGGCACCTTCCTGCCCAACACTTGCCCACCCTGAGCGTGGTTGCCAGAGAACTGGCTTGTGCTTCTGGCTCTCGCCTTCTAAGACTCCAGGCCGGGGCAGGGACGGGGGTGGGGGCAGAGGCTGTGTGTGTCTTCAGAGCCCAGCATCTGGCCAAGGCTGACCAGGCCGGGGAGCAATCACAGTGCCGACTCAGCACCTGTCTGCTTCCCCTCTTGATGTGTCAGAACCCATCGGGTGCAGCCACGGTGACCCCTGAGCTGGGCCACCGACCTCCCAGCAACTCCCCCTCACAGAGAGACCCCAGAGCTTCTTTTTTATTTTTAAGTGATTGATTGATTGGTGTTTATTCTTGAAAGAGACAGAGAGACAGAGAGAGACAGAGTGCAAGCTGGGGAGGGACACAGAAAAGAGGGAGACACAGAATCCGAATCAGGCTCCAGGCTCCGAGCGGTCAGCACAAAGCCCTACGCGGGGCTCGAACTCAAAAACCGTGAGATCGTGACCCGAGCTGAAGTCGGATGCTTAACCAACGGAGCCCCCAGGCGCCCCAGACCTCAGAGCTTCTTAAAACAGACAGAGTCGGGCTCCTGATCCCATTTACAGATGGCGAAATTGAGGCCAGAGGGAGGCCAGGAGACTTGCCAAAGGTTGCTGTGGTGACTGAATGGTGGCCTCCAAAATAGGTGCCTGCGTCCTAGCCCCCCGCCCAGAACCCGAGTGTGGCCTCAGTTAGACGTAGTGTCTTTGACGTTGTGACTCAGGTAAGAATCTTAAGACAGGATCGTCCAGGACCAGGGTGGATCTTGGCTCCAGTGACAAGTGTCCTGATAAGAGACCAAAGTAGACAAGACACAGAGGAGAAGCCGTGTGACACAGAGACTGGAGGGATGTGACCACAAGCCCAGGAAGCGCCTGTGGCTGGAGGAGGCAGGAAGGACCCTCCCCCAGAGCTTCTGGGGGGAGCACGGAGTGCTGCCACCTTGATTTGGGGCCTCAAGCCTCCAGAACTGGGAGAGAACACACTTCTGCTCCTCTAAGTCCCCGGTCTGTGGCCATTTGGTACGGCTGCCCCGGGACACGTGCACAGTGACTTAAAAGAGTGAGGCCTGGGAACCGTGTGTCCGCTTTCTCCTGCTCCCAGTGCTGACACCCCTCTTTCCCCCTAGAGATTTCCAGAGCAGTCTGGAGCTCTGTCCTTGGAGACCCCATCCCTGTGTGTTGGGCGGCCAGGGCCGGGGCCAGCTAGTGAGAATGGTGACAGTAGGCGCTCGACCTGGGTCGCCTGACCCTAGCCTGGGTCTGAGTCGTGCCCTGTGCCCCCAGGTGCGGGCCATGAGGCTCTCCTTCGTGGGGGAGCTGGGCTGGGAGCTTCATGTGCCCAAGCCAGCCTGTGTGCCCGTGTACCGGGCTGTGATGGCTGCAGGCACCAAGCACGGCCTCGTCAACGCCGGGTACCGGGCCATCGACTCCCTGAGCATCGAGAAAGGTGTGTGTGGGGCCCACAGGGCGCCCCCGGGCTGCCCGGAGCCACGCTGCAGGTGGGGGGGCGGGGGGTGTCGGCCCCTGTGCTTCTTCCCTGCCCCACTCCCCTTCCCGCCTGCCCCTTTCTGTCGGCCTCCCCAGCCTTCCCCCCACCAACCCCTGCACTGCCCACAGACCGTGGCTTCCACGCAGGCCTGGGGCCGGGGCTGGGGTCCCTGACAGCAGCACTTGGAGGGCGAGGGGGAGGGGTGCTTGCCCAGCCTTGGGGGAGCGGGGCCGGAGCTGGGTTTGGACTGGGTGCCTGGGTTTCCCCAGGGGGTTGGAAGGATGTGAGGGCAGGGCTGCTCGGGTCCCTCCCTGACAGCTCACCGGCAGGGCAGAGGCTGGAAGGGGCATCTGCTCCCGGGGCCTCGCCCAGGGGACCTTCTGCAGGTGCAGGAGCAGCCCGCCCCCCACGTCTGCTGGGCACCGACCCCAGGGTGTCCTCCCCGCAGGCTACCGGCACTGGCACGCAGACCTGCGCCCCGACGACAGCCCCCTGGAGGCGGGCTTGGCCTTCACCTGTAAGCTCAAGTCAGCGGTCCCCTTCCTGGGGCGGGAGGCCCTGGAGAAGCAGCGGGCCGAGGGCCTCCGCCGACGTCTGGTGTGCTTCACGGTGGACGAGTGAGTGGCCCGTGGTCCTGCGTCTGTCCGTCCAGTAGGACGGGGTCAGCAGGGCCCGAGGGGACCCGGGGGGGGGGGGGCTGGGACACACCCTGCTCACACACAGCTTTTGAAAGACAAAGGTGCCGCCAGGCCACCTCCCATGGGTGGACCCGGGCTGAGGGCCCAGCTTCCCGGTCACCATGTGGTGACTTCTCACCATGTTCCGGTTAAATCCCCCCCACGACAGATGGTGGAGGGAAGGCCAGGCCGCGGCCTGGAGACCTGGGGTGCCAAGGGACAGGGTAACCCAGCCGCAGGAAGGAGAGCCCGTTCCGGGGACTCGACCCCTCCATTTGCCCCCGGAGCGGGGGAGCTCTGAGCAGGTGGCTCAGTTATGTCCTCGGGATCTGGCCCATGCTGTCCCAGGATTCCACCTGGGCGGGTGACTCTGAAATGACAGTCCCAGGCTGGTGTCTTCGCGGGAACCTGGGTAGCAACGGTCTCCAGGACGGCGGCTCCACTTTGCTGATTTGCGGCTGACAGGCTCCCACGAACGCGGCCATTCTCCCGGATTTCTGGAGCCATCAACAGAAGTGTCAGGAGACATGAGGGGGGGGCAGAGGGGGAGCCGAGCTGTGGCTTGTCATCGCCCTGCTGCTTCTCCCCGGGCTCCGGTCAGACCGGCCCCCCCGCACGCCGCTTTGTCCACCTGCTGGGGAGCAGCCCAGGCTCCAGTTTGGGGGTGCAGACGGAGCAGAGCCCTGCGGAGCCCCTCTGCCACCTGGCCCTCCGGGAAGCACCTGCAGCCTGATGTCTGTCTGGCTCCGGGAGCCTCCGATGCACCCGCCACAGCCCTCCGGCCCCGCTCGGGTGTTCTCTGCAGGGCCACCAAGGCAGCCAGGGCGGTTCCGGTCCTGAGGAAGGACACGGCCAAGATGCCCCCTACCCCGGCCTGTTTCTTCACGTGCAAACAGCATGTGCCCCACAGGACCGGGTGGGACGAAAGGGCAGGGATTTGCCGCGGAACCGCCGTCTGTCCCACCCTCTTCCCTCATTCACTCGGGGCCCAGAGCCAGAGGCTCCCACGCCTCGTCCCCGCGCCTTTGCCCAGGGCAGGATCCACACTGCTGTGCCACCCTCTCCTGGGGGGCGGCCGGCCCCGGGCACCCGTCAGGCTCTCCACAAACATCGACCCAACACCCAGAGGCACGAGTCTGCAGAGATTTGCACTAAATATGCCAGGCACTTCCGGGCGCTGGAGCATCTGTGATTGTAGTCTAATCTCTGCGCTTTCTCTTCTGAATTTTCAGAAATGTTATAGTCTGCATTCATGCTAAAGAAAAGTCCTTTTGATAGATAATGCAGCGTTCTGTGGAGAAAGAACCACGGTAAAACAAGCCTCGGGGGCATAAGGCTTTCAATTATTCAGAAGTCAAGGAAAAGCAAGTTAAACGGCGGGCCTTTCCCAAATACCTGGGGTCTGTCCCTGCAGACGCAGAAGTCAGGGCCCGGCAGTGGTCTGTTCTCGTTCGGGCATCCGCTTGGACGCTGTGCCTGGCGACCTGGGGGCCAGGCACTGGGATGGCTCCAGGCCCCAGGGCGCGGGTGTCCCCCCTGGGGGCTCCGGGGCCCCAGCTCTCTCTTGCTTCTTCCAGAAAAGTGCCCATGTTCGGCCTGGAGGCCATCTGGAGAAACGGCCAGGTGGTAGGCCACGTCCGGAGGGCTGACTTTGGGTTTGCCGTTGACAAGACTCTCGCCTACGGCTACATCCGGGACCCCAGCGGCCAGTCGGTGAGTCCGCCCCACCCCCCACCCTGGCTCCGCCCAGGGAAGCTCGGCTCCCCGCCAGGCTCCCTGTCAGCGCCCCATTGCCGCCTGTACCCCTGCGCCACGCTGGACCTGGGCGACCGGGCGCGGCGAGGTCGCGGTTGATGGGGCCGCGTCTCTGGCGGGGTCAGTGGCTAGTTCTGTATTTTCTCTCTGAAAAAATCCGACTTTGGGAGCTCCAGGCTTCTCTTGGTCAGAAGGAGGCTCTGGGCCAGGGCTAACGCCCTCTGCTCCTGGAGCCAGAGACCCAAACCTCGAGGCTGGGGTGGGCGCCAGGGAGAGCAGAGGCCTGGACCTCATCCTCCCAAGAGCGCATTCCTCTCCTCTCTTTCCTCGTCCCACATGTGCCTGCACACGCATGTACGCACACGTGTACTCGCGTACGGACACATGCAGCCATAGACACGTTTTGCCACGTGACCATTTGTAAACCCCCGTGACCCGCACTGAGCCCGGCTCCTCCCTGCACATTGGCAGGGGGCGCAGAGGCAGAGAAAGGGCCCATTGAGGGCCTGCAGGGGTCAGAGCCCGGGGAGGGGGCTCGAAGCACTTGCCAGACTGGCTGGCTGGTCACGAGGGTGTCAGTGGCATGGGCTGGATGCCGTGACGCGAGCGAGTGGGGGGGGAGCTCACTGCCGTAGCACCTTTGTGGCTGGGCCTGCTTGCCTTGCTCCCTGGAGTTCTGCACCAGCCCTGTGGCAGCTGGGAAACTGAGGCGCTGAAAGGCTCTGGCCGTGGGGGCTGAGATGCTCACCCAGTGGGGGCTGAGCTTTCCAGCCTCAGCCTTAGACACTTGGAGGACCCCAGGCTGCAGCTCCCCCCATGTGCGGCCAGCAGAGGCCCCAGAGGGAGATCCACTTGGAAGAATGAGCAAGGAGGAAGCGGGTGTGAGTCAGACCAGCCCAGGCAGGGGTGCCAGGGACGTGCCAGGCCTGGTATGTAGGCCTGGGCAGGGGGCTCCCACCCTGGGCCTCTGGGGGTCCTGGGACCTGGGCTGCCTGTCCTGCATTGCTAGGAGAGAAGAGATCTCTAGGAGCAGAGCCCACGGTGCCTTGCCCACGGCTGGCCCTGGGTGCGGCCCCTGTACTGAGAGGGCAGGATCCCCATGCGGAGCCAGTGTGCCCAGGGTCTAGGCACATGGTCCTTTTCCTGTTCCCCGGTTTCGCAGGGATCCACACTTTCTGCAGCTGGAGGTGTCCCCACGGGCTGCCAGCCTGCGGCTCTGCTGGGGCCCCAGGCGGTCAAGTCCAATCAGGGCTCCTACGGGCTCAGGGCGGTTGTTGGATTCAGAGGAGGGCCCGTGGCGCAGAGATGGGTTGGCCCAGAGGGAACAGGTGAGGCCGAGCCCGCCCTCCGGGAAGCAGGTAGATAGGAGCCCAGCACCCGCCAGGTAACGGGTGACCCACACCCCCTCGTGTTCTGCAACAGGTCTCTCTGGACTTTGTGAAGAGTGGTGACTATGCTCTGGAGCGGATGGGGGTGGCCTACCCTGCCCGGGCTCACCTGAAGTCTCCCTTCGACCCTGACAACAAGAGGGTGAAGGGAATCTACTGACCC